GTGGAGTTGATTTTTGCTCGTAAATATAAGGTCGAAAAATTTTTGCTAAAAAAGGAGAATGTTACTTATGCAAAGACGTATTTAGTCAAAGGTGCTATCAATTTTATCTGCTTTATTCATTTGTGCGCTTTCTCTCAAATTGTGATCAGTAGTCTTCGCAATTATTTTGATTATAACCGAGCGAATCTTCATTTTCAGCTCGCTGTCACTGCCATCTGCCTGTTTGTTATTCTTCCACTAACGCTTGTTGGAACGGTTCTAGGTCGCAACATGTCCGGCCAAGGAGATTATCCCTGCAGGTGAATGATAATGGTCTCAGTAGAATTCTGTTGCTATGGATGATCTATTATTTGTAGAGTGAATGCCGTGCCTCGTCCAATACCTGATAAGAAATGGTTCGTGCAGCCTTGGCTGATCGTGCTTATGGGTGGAGTTCTGCCATTTGGCAGCATTTTCATAGAGATGTATGTTTCCTCTTTTCACTATTTATGTGTTCTTCTGATTAGTGCTGCGTTACGTTGTACACTATTATTATCATTGAGTTTTTGAATGTAATTGCCTTTGCAGGTATTTTATCTTCACATCGTTCTGGGCTTACAAAATCTACTACGTGTACGGTTTTATGCTTCTTGTCACTATCATCCTGGCAATCGTCACTGTTTGCGTCACCATCGTCTGCTGCTACTTCCTGTTGAATGCTGAAGACTACAGATGGTGGGTACTTTGCATACAAGCGCTTCAATTTTGTAGCTATTGCAAATCTTAGGTCAAAATGAACTAAAGTGCGGAACTCTTTCTCTGTCCATATCCTCTTTTATAGGTAGCATTCATCTAATAATATTGAGTTATCGCAGATACTTGTTTGATGATTGATATATGCGAATCAAGCTCAGCTCAAGATTAATGTCCGTTGAGCTTGCACCTCTGTCCTCACTTCTTTTGAGGCTGATGGCTGCTCATTCTTGCGACTCATCAACGAATGACCCGCTTACACTTTAAATGCATAATTATTCAGGGTGGCATTATTTTTCTCAAAATGCGCTAGGCAAGATGTCGGTTTGCGTTTCGTTCATGTCGCTTGCAAAAATGCTTTGCCTCTAATTATGTAAGGTATCAGAAAAATTCTTTAAATTATCAAAATTGGACTTATTTGTTTTTCAAAATGACAGACTGCCTTTTTATAAAAATGAGCAAGGAAATATTCGTGGACTTTCTCAGATATCATCAAGGAAGTGAAAAGCTGATGATCTGTTGACATATTTTTAATGGTATGAAACTTCTTTGAGTTTTGGTTGAACACAGACTAGTGTTGGACCGGAGATTTGCTTGTTTTGCCTAATAACTAATCTGCAGTATATCATCAGATATAAGCGTGTAACGCTTTTGTAATGTGATAGTTTATCCCTTCTTTAGCATCTGCGGAGGACAGGATTGGTATGTCTGCAGAGACTTAACTTTGCGCCTTAGTTTGCATCATTTTGAAATCCCTTTTTTTGTACAAGCGATGAGTTCGTTCGCTTTGAACTCTTATAATAATGTTATTGTTTTCATTTTTGTTGTCTGTGGCTTTTTCTTATATCTAACAAAATTTTAACCCCGGAATTCATTTGAGTGCATTCTTAATCAACTGTAAGATATCGTGCAAAGGTTGAAGTCCTTGTCTGCGAAAATAAGAGCTTAACATGTTCTAAGTTTTATTCTATTTGCCGATTTGCTCAGAATTAAGACCCATGACGAATCATTTCACTCTCGAAAGTTGAAGGTATGAGCTAGAGTGGCTAAGATGATTTCTGAAGAATACATAACATTTTTTAAAGAAATTTGTCATGTTTATTTGGAGAGCTCTATGTTTATATCAACTTTTTGAGACAGTTGTGGATGCTAATTAATTGCTCCTATGGTTATAGCCATGACTATGCTCATGTTGGATTATATGGTCTTGGGGTATCATAAAGGGGTTGGCTGCGTAACACCTTTTTACCAATTAAAACAAAGGGAGAATTTTCACGATTCCGTAAGATCTTATAGTACGAGAAGAATTGGTCTGTTTTACAATCAATTAGCGAAATATTGTGAAGGAACTTGCATTGTTGGATCCACTACCAAGGCTGCAGTTTTTGACTAGAATAGCTCAAAAGAAGAACTACTAGGTTAAGAAGACCTTGTAATAAGTCCATTAAATTGGAAAACAAAGTGATAGAGGGACAGTGTGGGCGACTTTGTCCCTCTATCACGACAGAACCTTTGTTTGAGAAGAAAGACAGACATTTTGCTCTGAGAAGACGAAATGCAGGATTAGGGATTTTCCTGTTTCTTCTCTTTCTAAGCTTTTACCGAGTAGTGTAGTAGTTTTGGAAATAATCTAACGAAAGCGAGGATCACAGCGTTGCCAGTGCTAAAGGTGAGTGTTACAAATTTGATTGTGAAGCATAGAATGAAACAACCAGTTTAGATAAAGATCTTTTCAAACTCAAAATGGTGTACCCTAAGAAGTGGATATGAGAATTACTTTTTGCTGATTCTGGAAGTCTCGAGAAAATTCTGAACTCTACTATC